GCTGCAAACCGCCCCAGTGCACGCTGGAGGTCCTGGTTTGATGGAGCCAACAGGACAACGTCATCTGCAAAAAGCAGAGACGAGATCCTGTGATCCTAGAAATTCTGTCCATAAAAATAATGAACAGAACTGGTGACAAAGGGCAGCCCTGCTGGAGTCCAACATGCACCGGAAACAAGTCTGACTTACTGCCGGCAATGTGAACCAAGCTCCTGGTCCGGGCGTACAGGGACCGGACAGCCCTTAGCAAAGGGCCCTGTGCCCCATACTCCTGGAGCACCCCCCACAGGGTGCCGCGAGGGACACAGTTGAATGCCTTCTCCAGTTCCACGTAACACATGTGGACTGTTTGGGCAAACTCGGCCAGGGCGAAAAAAAACGCATTGTTCCTCCTGAATTTGAGGTTCGACTATCAGTCAAATTCTCCTCTCCAGTACCCTGGCATAGATTTTCCCTGGGAGGCTGAGTGTGATCCCCCTATAGTTGGAACACACTCTCCGGTCCTCCTCCTTGAAAAGAGGGACCACCACCCCGGTCTGCCAGTCCAGAGGCACTGTCCCCAACTGCCATGCAACGTTGCAGAGGTGTGTCAGCCAAGACAGCCCCACAACGTCCAGAGACTTAAGGTACTCAGCTTGGGTGATGGACGCATCCACCTCCGAGCCCTCAGCCTTTGCTTCCTCATTGGAAGATATGACACTGGGGTTGAGGAGATCCCCAAAGTATTACTTCCACCATCCGACAATGTCCCCAGTTGAGGTCAACAGCTGCCCACCTCCACTGTAAACAGTTTTTTGGCAGGGCACTGCTTCCCCCTCTTGAGGCACCGGACGGTTTGCCAGAATTTCTTCAAGGCCGACCGATAGTCCCTCTCCATGGCCTCACCAAACTCTTCCCAGACCCGAGTTTTTGCCTCCACAACCACCTGGGCTGCAGTCCACTTGGCTTGCCAGTACCCGTCAGCTGCCTCAGGTGTCCCAAGAGCCAATCAGGCTCAAAAGTACTCTATCAGCTTGACCGCATCCCTTACTTCCGGTTGTCCACCACTGGGTTCGGGGATTGCCATCACGACAGGCACCGGAGACCTTACGGCCACAGCTCTGAACAGCCGCATTGACAATGGAGGTGGAAAACATGGTCCACTCAGACTCGATATCTCCAGCCTCCCCCGGGATCTGGTCAAAGCTCTGCCGGAGGTGGGAGTTGAAGATCTCTCTGACAGGGGATTCTGCTAAATGTTCCCAACAGACCCTCACAATACGTTTGGGTCTGCAAAGTCTGTCCAGCTTCCTCCCCTGCCATCGGATCCAGCTCACCACCAGGTGGTGATCAGTTGACAGCTCCGCCCCTCTCTTCACCCGAGTGTCCAAGACATACGGCCGGAGGTCAGATGAAACAACCACAAAGATGATCATCGACCTCCGGCCTAGGGTGTCCTGGTGCCATGTGCACTGATGGACACCCTTATGCTTGAACATGGTGTTCGTTATGGACAAACTGTGGCTAGCACAGAAGTCCAATAACAAAACACCACTCGGGTTCACATCAGGGGGGCCGTTTCTCCCAATCACGCCCCTCCAGGTGTCACTGTCGCTGCCCACGTGAGCATTGAAATCCCCCAGTCCCCAGTTGGAGCGTTTTCCAGGACCCTTCCCAGGAACTCCAGGAAGGCCGGGTACTCTACACTGCCATTCGGCTCATAGGCACAAACGGCAGTGAGAGACCTATCCCCGACCCGAAGGCACAGGGAAGCGACCCTCTTGTTGACCGGGGGA